ACAAGAAAACATGGATGGATGGTTTAACTTTACAAGATTACGATGACCATTGCTCACTGAACCAGAAGACAGTTAAGGTGACAATATTTCATTATTGATTTTTTATTTTATTATTGTGACAAATAGCTTCCTGAGCTTTTTTGAAAAACCACATGGAAGAAAAACTATAATCTTACGACATAAAATGCTTTTAAAACTTTAAACCCTGGGCTTGTACCCAGCTTAACGAGGGATTTCAAGGAAAGGTTTACCGGTAATCAGATTAAAATCAGATATTCATAACCATAAAAAAGCCAACAGTTAGCAGTCAAGTGAAAGTCCAATAACCATGGTAACCACCTGTCTATCTGTATTATCGTATAACACCTTGTAGTGAGAACTACTTGAAGTTGTAAGTTGTTAATATTTACGAGCAGAATAACTGACTGCCAATGATGGAATAGCCTTAGAACAACAATGAGCTCATTGGCAGCCAATAGGGGTTTAGGATTGCTAAACGAAATATTAGATCACTTGTTTAGAGTCTAGCATAAATACAGGTGTTTTGCAAATAATTGTTCTTGGGTTACGCCCCCGGTGGTGGGACGTCGGATACCACTATCCCGTACTGTTGGACCCAAGTACTGCGTATTCTCTGTTTCCCGTTGGATTGTTTTGCTGTAACAGATCCCGAGTCCTCTAGGAGTCTGACAAACTCCGTCGCTGCAAGCATGTTTCCCTCTGGATTGTTGTAACAAGGATAACAACCGTAGGCGGCCCAAAAACCTGTTATCACAGTATCCCCTAGAGACTTCCAGTTATATTTTGGATAGGGGTATATCTGTGAGGGGGTGTTTATTCCAAGGAGACAGGAGATGCAGAAAGTTTGGTTTCAATGTACATCAAAAGAGTGGGTATACATTGTATGTACATATCATGTCAAAGCTGTAACACTAAATGAGCAGATTTAATTGTATCTATGTTCATTCACTGCAGGAAATGCTAGAACTGGTCAAGAATTATCACAAGGTAAGATATTTTGAAAGATGCAGCAATGGTCAATTCTGTGTCGATTTTAGCGAAAAATCAAAACCTTGACACTCAACTGAAACCATTTATAAAACCAGCAGTATCTAAGGTACATGATTGAGTTGAGGGAGGTCTTTATTTTAGTGCATTCTAACTTGAGCTTTTGACAATTATAGGCAGTGGAGGAAGAAGATACCATGACTCCAGAACAAAGAGCTATAAAAAATGTTGGCAAGCAGGTGTGTACATGAACATGTAAATTGATATAAATGGCAGTGTCATCAGACTTTTAATTTGACAATTAAGTGGTCTATGCTGGGAATTCATCCGCAGATTTAAAAGTTAGAACCACCTTGTATGGTGTAATAATCATCGCTACATGAAACTATTACTCAATCGCTTTTATTTGAATGGCCACACACTAGGGTTTTATCCACAGACTTAGAAAGTCAGAACCACCTTGTACAGCATAATAAACAGTACCACATGAAAGTACTGCTCAACAGCTTTCATTTGAATGGTCACACACTAGGGTTTCCTTTATTCTGACAGTGTTTAAAGTTTACTTAGANATATTTTGAAAGATGCAGCAATGGTCAATTCTGTGTCAATTTTAGCAAAAAATCAAAACCTTGACACTCAACTGAAACCATTTATAAACTAACTTGGGCTTTTGACAATATTATTATAGGCAGTGGAGGAAGAAGATACCATGACTCCAGAACAAAGAGCTATAAAAAATGTTGGCAAGCAGGTGCGTACATGAACATGTAAATTAATATAAAATATGGCAATGTCATTAGACTTTTAATTTGACAATTAAGTGTTCTATCCTTGGAATTCATCCGCAGATTTAAACGTTAGAACCACCTTGTATGACATAATAATCATTGCTACATGAAACTACTACCCAATAGCTTACATTTGAATGGCTGCACACTAGCGTTTTATCCTGCGACTTAAAATTTAGAACCACCTTGTACAGCATAATAAACAGTACCACATGAAAGTACTGCTCAACAGCTTTCATTTGAATGGTCACACACTAGGGTTTCCTTTATTCTGACAGTGTTTAAAGTTTACTTAGAACCCTGTCAACATATGGAGGTGACAGGTACCTGAGGAAGTGAAATGATCGTGAGCATATATTTAGTTTCAAAGGCAAGGGATGAGGTTAAAGTAATGATCTCTTTTCTTATTAGGATCCCAAGCGCCATCTGGAAGAGAGTGTTGAAGTGTTGATGACGTCAGACATTGTTCAGTGCCTTGGTGCCATGCTTAACTCAGTTGTCTTCTAAACTTTGTATAAATAAGATAATAATAAACTTCTGTAACTTGTAATAAAAGTATACCAAGAATATTGAAGATTGTTTGAATCAATATAATTATCAGTTTTGCATGTTACTCCAAGGTTAGTCCTTCTTTCTCTAAGGTTGTTGAGGGAAAAGGAAAGATTGCAAGGGGAGAAATGGATGAGAGAATAAGGGCAAGGTGCTCTTAACAAACTACTACTTGAGAAAAGAGGGGTTGCTTGCATTCTTATCCCCACAGTCACCTGCCTTTCTTAGCTAGTGGTGTGTACATGAGGACAAGGTGGCTCCGGACACAGGATTCTGTCGGCTAGACTTTTGGACTAAGCTTTTCACTAATTTGATACTGGTGCTCAGACTGATGGGGATCACAGGATACTGACTTTTAGCAAGATTAAAATTGTTTTTGGTAAATCATGTGTTTTAAGAACCACCTTTTCCTTGCAACAAGGCCCTGTTAGCCGAGAGGGACAGACAGCTCTGGGAATGAAAAGAGGTTGCCTGCAGTGTAATCTGTGGCTGCCTACAAGCCATACACTATGAAACCAAAATCCATTAAGATCTTGTGAATATTTTAATGGAAAAGTCACAAGGTTTTCATGCCATTTTAACAGGTTTTTCATGGTTTACTTCATAGTTTTTTCATGGGAAAAAATCCTATGAAAAAAGCATGGAAAACCGCATCAAAAATCCCAGGAAAATGCCCTTAAAAATTCCCAATAAATGACCCTTGAAATTTTCATTCTGAAATAAGTACATTAAAAATCCATAAAAATGCCATTTTAAAAATTTTATGGGGTCATGAAATGTATTTTAATGGGATTTTCATGTTTTTGGAAAACACACCATGAAAATTACCACTAGATTTTCATGGTGTCAATTTCATGGAATTTTAATTGCATGTAAAATTCTTGGCCCATGAAAACCCCCTTAACGGGGAATTTTTAATGGCCCATGAAAAATTTCTGGCTATTTTAATTACCTTTTCATGGTATTTTTATGGTCCATGAAATTTGACTCC